CAGAAATTCTTCATTTCTTCTTCTTCATTTCTGAAGAAGGGTCCAGACCCGAAACGTCAGCTTTCCTGCTCCTCTGATGCTGCTTGGCCTGCTGTGTTCATTCTCCTCTACACCTTGTTATCTCAGATTCTCCAGCATCGGCAGTTCCCACTATCTCTAATTCAGTTTCTATTTCGTTCACTAACTGCGATATAAATGTGAATGATCCCACCAGCTTTGTTTTGTAAATGGGTGAAATTTCCACGAACTGAACCGCAATATATTCCCTCACCTTCGGAAATATCAACTCGTCTGTTTGCTCCATCTGTTTCTGCAACTTTGAGAGTTTCTCCTCAGTAGAATTTAAATTCTCCTGAATCTCTCGAAGGTTTTTCTCCATTGTTTCTAGAATCCTTCCCTCTTCTTCCCTGAGATCACTGAGTAAACTCTGTTCTTTCTCAGTTAGAATCTGGTGCATTTTAGTGAACTCGGATGTGATGTGGGTCTGCAGACTGCTCGCCTGTTCCTACCAAATGAAATGTGAAACATCATTAATGTCCCGCGACAAAGAGAACAAAACTAACCGAGATCCCAGAAAATCAGCACAGGGAGACCTCACCCTCACTTCGGAAATCTTCCGTTTCTGGTTCTGTTCCGTTTGTAGAACCGCCGATTTCTTCTCTGTGAGAGAATCTAAGGAAGATTTCAGCTGATCCTGGAATTGGGAGAGAAAGTGCAGAACAGGATGTGTTAGTTCAAGTGCTGGATTAGTCGTATGTGATGTAACTCTCAGTTTATTAAATATCCCCCTTTACCTTATAGATTTCAACAGCTTCTTTACTCGGGATGAAGTGCTCTCTCTGTTCCCCAGTGACACAAATCACACAGGTTAATTTCTTGTCAGTTTTACAAAACAGCTTCAGATCTTCCTGATGTATCTCACAGTGAAGTTTACTTTCCTTCCCTTTCTGATCCAGCTTTAGTTTTCGAGCCTCCTCGGCCAGATTCGCTAAGGCCCGATTTACCCTGAGGTTTCTTTCCGGAAACTCCTCTCTACATTCCGGGCAGGAGTTTACCTTCTTTTCCCAACTCTGGGTGATACAGGAGCGGCAGAAGTTGTGTCCACACTCCAGTGTAACCGGGTGGGTGAAGAAATCCAGACAAATGGGGCAAACTGTCTCCTCGGTCAGTCTCTGGAGCTGCTGTCTGGAAGCCATGATCAAACTCAGCACTTTCTAATTAAAACTAGTTTTACTTTGGACTTTTCTGCGCCGCTGAACACTTTCAGTTCAATGATTTCCCAATTTATTTAACTGCAAGGCTTCGAGAACCATTATACAAAACTAGTCTTCGTTCTATCAACATTTTCACAGGAAAGAATAAATAAAAGGCAACATTTTGACGGAGAAACTGGATTTGAACGTGGCGAGAAAGTGTGAGCTCTGCACCAGAGGGTGAAGGTCCATCGAATGTTGACATTGTGGGAGGGGCAGAGAGAGGGGGAGGAGGTGAGATGGCAGGATCAAGTTTTCTTTGAACTTTGTACTTAACTCAATGCCGATTGTAAAGCCTGTGGTGAAAATCAGCATGGGGGTAATCAATAGAACCCCCAAAGAACCTATATCAATTCAATTTAAGAGATAGTAGGAACTGCAGATGCTGGAGAATCTGAGATAACAAGGTATAGAGCTGGATGAACACAGCAGGCCAAGCAGCATCAGAGGAGCAGGAAATCTGACGTTTCGGGCCTAGACCCTTCTCTAAACCTTGTTATCTCAATTCAATTTAATTCAGTTTCATTCAAACAGTACTCCCACAGTGTGACACACTGTCAACCAGGAATAATACTGCTGGCTTGTAAGAAAGGTACAGCAATGATCATTGGTGAGATTACTATGTATTCAGACGGTATTACTAAGAGATGGCTCATTGAAAATGTTCGAGATAGTTTCTTGAAGCAATATGCTGCTGAACCATCCAAGGATCAGGCTGCTCTGGATTTGTTGTTGTGGAATGAGGTGGGATTAAGGAATGATCTCACAGTGAAGGATCCTCCAGGGAAGAGGCATCATAGTATGTTAGAAATTCAAGTTCAGTTTTGGAGGGCATGAAACTGGAGTCCACACACGTTTTGGAGTGAAGCAAAGATAATTACTCAGGCATGAGGACAAATGCGACTGTCGTGGGCTGGGCAGAAAGACGAAAAGAGAGGACAGTTCATTATCAGTGGTGGATATTTGGGGAGGTGTTCGATTCCTCCAAACTGAACACATAACCCAGAGAGAAATAAAGTTTGTAAAATTGGTTTTAAAAATACACCCATGACCAAGCATGGAAGTTAAAGATAATAGAAAAACAAAAACTAAGGCAGACCATATTGCAAAGGCCAGCGGCAGGCTGGAAGAGTGGGAAACTTTTAAAGATCAATAAAGGGTTCCGAAAAAATAATAAAAAGAGCAAAGGCAAATTATGAAAAGAAAACTAGCATAAAATACAAAAATGGACAGCGAAAGCTTCGTTAAGTATATTTACGGAAAAAGACCAGCTTAAGTGAGCGCTGGTAGACAGGAGGATGAGACTGGTGAATTAACACAGAAATGGCAATCACGAAATCAATAGCTTGCCTCAGTTTTCACAATGAAGGACACTAGTACCAGCCCAATCGTAACAGGAAATGCACAGCTTATAGAAAGGGAGGAACTGAGAACAAAAATCATCACTTGGTTTAAAGTAATGAGCACTTGTTTGGTATTGAAAGCAGACAAGTCCCCAGGGTTATTGGAGCTCACTGAGTGTTTAAGGAATATGTAACTAAAGTGGGTTAAAAGGAATTGAGATTCTCCACGATCAAATGAAACAGTCGAACAGATTTATATCGCTGAAGGGCCCAGTCCTGTTCCTGTTGATGTTTTCCAACTTTCACGAGCACAATTGGCTGAATGGCCTCCTTCTGTGAGCCAGACAGCTTCAGTAGAGGGAAACAGATCGATATCACTATTTTCTTCTTGATTCTATTTCAATAAGATTTGAAATGTAAGATTCCATTGTAATTATTTTGGACCTTGGTAAGTCTACTGCTGGTGAACTGTGCACGGATGTGATCCCTTTAACTATCAAAGGATAACCTTGCTTCGGAGGAAGTTTAAGGAATTTTCCTTCCAACGAATTCCTGGTGGACCTATTCCAACGCAATGGATCTGCTATACGCCTTCTACAATTTCGAGGAATGTAAAAAAAACTAAACCGAAATAATCAGATTTCCTCCAGCAGTCCTGAACATAAGGAATGGGTTCATTACTATCCTGACTATCACTGGATGATTCAGTTGTTTTCATTGAGACATAACTAACAAATGAGGTATCAGCAGAATCTCAGGGAATTTTATTTTTACATAAAGCAAACAGAATGGAGCACAGGACCATTTCACGAATGGGAATGGTGGAGTATAGGACTTTGGTTATAAGGTATGACTCAGTCAGTAAGAATGAAGCAGGATGCTGTGACACAGCTATGGCACAATTTTCCCAATTTTGACACAGCTCTGGAGATGTTTCTGAGCAGCACTTTGAAGGACCTCCTAGGAAGTTTCTGTCATCCTATAGAGAGTTTAATCGTTCTCTTTTTTTATTGATGTTTCCAGAACTGTTTCATGGAACTTGCAGGGGTAAGTATCAGAGATAGCAAGAACTACAGATGCTGGTGCAGGAGTCAATACAATACGGAGCTGGAGGGATACAGCAGGTCAGGCAGCATCAGAGGAGCAGAGGAGTCGACGTTTCGGGTCAGGTCCCTTCTTCAGGACTGGTCGCAATCACATTCCTGGAGGTGTGATGTAATATGTCGACCACACCAGGCCAGGACAGCAAATTTCCTCTTGGATTGAACGGTGCGGGTTTTGAGACCATCTTTTTATTCGAGACTGAGATTGAACTTTTCGTGTTTCTTTTTCAAAATATGTCTAATTAATTGAATTTAAATCCCCGTACCCAGGCTGGAATCCGTCCTCAGATATTCAATGGATTGATCGGCGCCCGGATTATTGTCCAGAATATTTCCATGTACTGAGCACAACATTCCTGTTCCAGAGGAAGCAAACTCCTTGCATCGTCCCTATGAATTCGTATCAACATGATCACCTTTCACTCTCTTAAACTCTGGGGGATAAAGGTTCCGTCCACTCGATCACCGCTCAGAGGACAATTCTCCCAGAGAACAATCTGGTGAATCTATGTTACACTTGCTGTGAGGCAGGCCTATCTTTCCTCAGGTGAAGAGACGAGAGATACATGAGACGCCAGCTGCGGTTTCAATCAGGATCTCTCCAATCGCTGTCAAAGTTGTTCGCCTTGAATACTTCTGCTTTGGAAACGCAGAAGTTAACAGGGAACTCCGTGCACCGAGTATGATATCGGAATGCACTTTAGCTGGAGTTCTATGGAAGGGTCACTCTACGCTAAATATTGTGGAATCGTGTTTCAAGTAACGACCGAAATCGCGGAATGGAGAAAATAGCCTCGTTATTGAACATCCGCAGCAGCACAGTTCGAGGCGGTGATGGAATCCCGAAGTACAGTTATTACAGCAGCCTCTTTATACACAGTACTTACACATGTTAAAATTCTATCACTATGCTGTTACACACTTTCATCTATTGTACACAGAAGTTTGTGTGACATCTGTCCTGGGGAAGCAGGAGATTGTTTAAACAATTGCGAAGTTCTGGCTACTCGGATTCGAGTGTCTGTCCGGTCTGCTTGCATAATTAAGAAAGGTTAGTCCTTTTGTTTTTTAAGTCAGTAAATGTTAGTAATAATACTACACGTATAGGATCTAAATAAGTTAGAAATTATACATGCACTACAAAAAAAGTATAAAGGATATTGCAGATGGGTAGTGAGATTTGGTTTACAATTTGCCGGAGTGAGTTTCATTCATTCATGCAATTTCACAGAAGCGCTGTTTTATCGGTAACTTTCGTGAAGTGAGCAGAGGCCCTATTCAATATGTATTTAACAGGTACATGCTGGTGGAGGAAACTTGTTTGAAGTTCTACAACCTATTCAAGTCCCGAGAGACGGTTGCTAAGGGGCTGATTAATATTGTAATCTTTTCATAGTTTCGGATGGTTCGTGGAGACACTTTGGCGGTGAGGGTATTGTTTCTGAATAAATTCGCAGTCGTTGATATTTATTCAGAGGTAGCTTTTGATGTAAATAGGTCTGATAAGGTTTGAAAGTGTGAAGAAATAGTAATGGAATGGGAAGGAACGTTTTAATTGATTATATCTCGCAATAGAAAAATGCACTGCAACAATCGTGAATGAATGAATGAATTAAAACGCGTTATAGTAAACAGCGATAACATAGTATGGGGCTGGAGGAACATAGCAGACCAGACAGCATCACAGGAGTAGGAAGGTTGAGGTTTCGGGTCAGGACCCTATTTCGGAAAGGGTAAACAGCGAGTTACTATATAAACAGCGTGTTATGAATGAATGAACGGGAATGCGGTATTGGTAAATTATGGAATGAACGGGAATGCGGTATTAGTGAATATCGCGAGCTGGTGAGTGAGTTAGTAAAGACATAATAACATAATATTATGAGATAATATAAAATCTCGCAATATTAACTCGGATTTGTCTCCACCGATGCTGCTAGACCCGCTCTCTGCTTTTCCAACAATTTCTGCTCTTGTTTCACAATTTCACTGGACGTTGGTGATCAAGTTTTGAAATTGTGATCCCGAAGATCCTCAAACAGGTGTCCTGTAATTTGCTCCTCAGAGTGAATCCCATTGGAATTTTCAGCAGAATAATGAAAAACAAAACTGGAGTGCAGTGAATGTAAGTGATTGGACCAAGCCAATGTTTTGTTATTAACGGCTCAATGGCTCGCACTGCTGACTCACAGCACTAGGGACCCGGGTTCAATTGCAGCCTCGGAGAACTGTCCGTGTCTGTGTGGGCTTCCTCTGGGTTCCTCCCAGAGTCCAAAGATGTACAGGGTAGGTGGATTGGCCATGGAAATTGCAAGGTTGCAGGGAGAGGTCAGTGGGTAGGTCTGGGTGTGATGCTTTACAGATGATCGGTGCGGATTCAAATTAAATTTGCAGGTGTCAAGGTAGGAAGAGATGAGGTCTGTGGGGCAGGAGCAGACAGAAACAATGGGCCTGCCAGGGCAGTCTTGTTTGTGGATTTTGGGAAGGAGGTAGAAGCAAGTTGTGTGGGGCTGGCAGACTATCACCTTGGAGGTGGTTGGGGGAGGGTGTCACCAGATGAAATGAGGTTGGTGACTGTAGCTGACAGAATGGCCTGATGTTGTATGGTGGGGACATGGTCTGTGGGGAGATATGAGGAGGTATCAGAGAGCTGGCACTCAGCCTCTTCAATGTGCAGGTTGGTCCACCGGACAACAACAGCATCACATTTATAAGCAGCCTTGATTACAATGCTACCGTTGGATCCAAGAGCATGGAGAGAAGTAAGTTCAGGGGGATATAGGTTGGAATGGGTAATGGTGGACAGGGCAGAGAAATCGAGGCAACAAATGTAATGTCAACAGTTGTCAATGAAAAGGTTAAATGCAGGTAGAAAGCCAGAGGGAGGAGACCAGGTGCAGGGAGAGTGTTAGATGTTGGTGAAGAGATCTATGGGATTGGGAGAGACTCTTGCCCAAAGAAATGGGCACAGATCCGAAAGCTACACAAAAGGTCAATGTCACTTCATGCACAAAATTAATTCAGGTGGGGACTCAGAGGGATAAAACTGAGACCATTGCTGTGTACAGAATGTTGAGCATCAGAGATCAGAAGGTCAGGAGGGGTGGTGAATATATCACAGGAGGTGGAGCTGGAGGACCACGGCAGGCCAGGCAGCATCAGAGGAACAAGAAAGTTTAAGTTTCTGGTTGGGATCCTTCTTCAGAAAGGGGGAGGGGGAAAGCAGCTCGGAGATAAATAGAGACAGGAGGGGTGGGGCTGGTGAAAGATAGATGGGATGGCGATGGGTGAATGCAGGCCAAGAGTGGTGGGGATTGGTCAGTGGGATGTGTGCGGTGGATAGGTGGGAGAGATGATGGATGGATTGTCCAGGTCAAGGAGGCTGGAGGGAGGATGGATGGGGCTGGGGAAAGGAAGTTGGAGCGGTGATAGGTTGGTGCAGGTGGGGGGGTAGTGGGATTAATCAGCGGGAAGGGGAGGGTGGATTGGAGTGGAAGAAGATGGACAGGTTGTGCCAGGTCAAGGAGGTGGGGGTGAGAGGGATATTTGGATGTGGGATGTGGCGGGGGGTGGGGAAACTTTAAAACTGGCAAATTCTGTGTTAAGGCCATTGGGCTGTAGGCTCCCAAGGCAGAATGTGAGGTGTTGCTCCTCCAGTTTGTGGGTGGTGTCATTGTGGCATTGAAGGAGGCCCAGGATGGACATGTCACTCAGGGAGTGGGAGGAGGAGTTAGCATGGTTGGTGCCTGGAAGGTGTTGTCGTTTGTCATGTACAGAGCACAGAAGCTCCACGAAATGGTCCCGAGACTGCACTTGGTCCCACCGATGTAGAGGAGGCCACATAGGGAGCAACAGTAGGTTGGAGGTTTACAGGTGAATCCCCCTCAGATATGAAAGGTTTACTTTGCAACTTGGATGGAGGTGAGGGGTGAGGTGTAGGGGCAGGTTGCAGGGTGCAGTCCTGCGGTTGCAGGGAAAGGTGCCGGGGTGGTGGAGTTAGTGGGGAGTGGAGAATAGATGAGGGAATCGTGGAGTGAGCGGTCCCTGCAAAAGGATAGTAGGGGTGGGAGGGAAATATCTTTTTGGTCGTAGCGTCTGATTATAGGTGGCAGAAGTGGTGGATAATGACACACTGGATGTGGAGGTTGGTGGGGTGATATGTGAGGTCGGGTGGTTTTTGTCTTTATTTTTGTTGGGGTGGGGAGGGGTGGGAGGACAGAAGCGTGGGAAATGAAAGAGATGCGGTTGAAGGAATTTTTGATCACCGGAGGGGGGAAGCTGCGGTTCTTGAAATAGGAGGACATCTGGGATTTCTGGGAGTGGAACTCTCCATCTTGGGAGCAGATGCAGTGGAGGTGGAGGACTTGGGAATAGGAGATTACATTCTTGCAGGACGGTGGGTGAGGAGATGTAGTCCAGGTAGCTATGGGTGTCAGGGGGCTTGAAATAGATGTCAGCGTTAGGACGGTTACTGGAGATGGAGACAAAGGGCTTCAGGAAGGGGAGGGAGGTGTCGGAAATGGATCAGGTGAATTTGAGTTTGGGACGAAAGGTGTTAGGAAAGTTGATGAACTGTTCAAGTTCCTCGTGGGAGCACAAGGCAGTGCCGATACAGTCATCAATGTAACGGAGGAAGAGGTGTGAGATGGTGCCAGTGTAACAGAGGATAAGGGACTGTTCCACGAATCCCTTGAAGAGGCAGACATCGCTAGGACTCATGCGGGTACCCATGGCCACCCGCTTAGTAAGAAGGAAATGTAGGTGGGGTTGGGGGAGGGCAGGGAGTCAGAAAGAAGAGCGGGGGAGGGTTGCAGAGGGCGGTGAGTATCTCTGACTTGCATCTTGTGTGCCTTGATGCCTGAAAAGAAAAAAATGTCTTGTTTGAACATCGAATGAGGAAGTGGAACTGCGGTGTGGTGCAGCCCTGAGCCAGCATGATGTGATGCTGTTGGAGAGAGAGAGAGATCGAGAGGGTGCACATGAGGACACAGAGTGGATCTCAGGATGTAGCGAGAGCAGCTGTCATTGAGTATCACGGAGATACTGATGATCCTGGGTGGATTCAAAGCACCAAAGTTGAAATGAGTTGGAATCCAGGTGTTGTAAGTCTGACCCGGAGGCAGTCACTGAGGAGTGTGGCTGTAGAAATGAGTGGCTCCAGTGGGAGGTGTCATTTGTGGTTCAGTGGGAACGCTCTTCCCTCTGAATCAGGTGAGGGGTTCGAGACCTGGATAAGAATCCAGACGGGTCCTGCCGTGCGGGACTGAGAGGGACAAAGCAGCTGCTCTGCTCACTGGTTTCACTGCTGGGCTCCAGGTGTCTGATGTGTGTCTGTAAATCACAACAGCGCGTACATTTCAGAAAGGCCGAATGGACTTTAAAGCGCCTTGCTAAATCCTATTGTATTGAAAGACCCACGAAAATGCAGGCCTCCCACAGCTCCACTCCCTGGAAAGACCCCTCTCTGTATCTGTCATCTCAACATCTGTTGGATATTTACAGAAATTTGTGTTCGAGGTTGAGCGGTTGCAATCATTCACACAATCCAGCTCAGTGATCTGGATCTTCCAGAAGAGGGTCTGTAATCGGCAGAGTTTAGTCTGGAGCAAAGTTCAGGAAAACTCGCTCCCCGCCCATTTCCACCACGGCCGCCCTCTCTCTGAGTGACAGCACTCTCTGCACCTTCACACTCCCCACCAGCGTTCAACTCTCTCCCCGTTTTCTGATTGTGTGTCTTCTTCAACATGTGAATATTTCCGATTGTCTCTGTCAAAATATCGAGAGGACAAAGTTTAAAGTAAGCATTGTTTGCAATGAAATTCGTCGGGAAATCGATAAACTGAACGTGTACACAAGGGCAGGAGTATTAAAACTGAAAGCGGTTTGAATCAGATACACAGCAGGTCAGGCAGCGTCAGAGGAGCTGGAAAGTTCACAATTCGGGTCGGGGCCCTTTCTCGGAGTTGGGGAGGGGGAAGGGAGCACCGAAATAAATAGAGAGAGGAGGGGTGGGGCTGGGGAAGGTGGGTGGGATGGTGATAGGTGAGTGTAGGTAGGGAGTGGTTGGGATAGGTCATGAGGGAGGAGGAGCAGATAGGTAGGAGAGAAGACGGACAGGTTGTGTCAGGTCAAGGAGGCCGGGATGAGAGGGAGAGTCGGTCATGGGATGAGGCGGGAGTGGGGAGATTTTGAAACTAGAAAAGTCCACATTGAGACCGTTGGGTTGTAGGCTCCCGAGGCGGAATATGAGGTAGTAGGAACTGCAGATGCTGGAGAATCTGAGATAACAAG